ACTAGCTAGCTGGTGTTTAGGAATAGAATTCTGTCTGACAAAAGAAGAAAGATTGAGAAAAAGATAATAAGGGTCGATATCACCAAATGGTTTAGTGGGATAGCTTTTCATGCAGAGAGAGAGAGAGAGAGAGAGAGAGAGAGAGAGAGAATGTTATAGGTTTTAGTGGGAGCAGGCGTGCCAATTGGGTTAGAGAGAGATGGGAGAGTAAAGCTGCCGGCGTGCATCACCATCATCAAACCCACCATCACCCAACACAAGCCATTCACATTCCTTGCCTCCTAATCCCTCTCCAAACTCTGCCAAAATGCTTGTTACTTTTTCCTTTTCTTACTATTACATTATCCCATACATCAATTTGTCATATAATAATACTCTATTCTATTGCCAAAATGTACCCTTCGCTAGGGCATGCAGCATGCTCTTCTCCCCTTTTTTCCCCTCCACTCCCCCATATCATCAAATAGTTTATAAATCACAAACACTAATCACTTCACATACCAACACTCTAGTCCATTTCACTGGATGACCAAAGTCCAAAACCATACATCCCACTCTCTTCCATGTCACTGCCCCCAAAATATTGCAATTCACTTGACCAAACTCTCTAATTTTTCTTCCTAGCCAAGTTGCTCCACCTAATGATTGCAGCCCCCCGAATTCCCCCCCTCAAATGAAATTCCTATTGTCTTGACCTTTGTCTTCAAGCTCAAGGTTAATTCTATCTAGAAACAAAACTTTGTTTGGTTGGCACCTGGCCTAGTCGTGAGAGCCTCAACATTCACTTATCTCTCTCCTTGAATCAATGGTCGAGACTTTGAGAGATTACTTTTATGTTTCGTTGGAGTCCTGGCATTTTCCTTTTTTTTTCAGGAAACAGCAAAAAAAAAAAATCAACTCCTAGCCTAGCTTAGGTTAGTACTCTATTTTCTCAAATGCCAAGGTGACTACGCATTCATTTGCTGCATAGATATTCTCAGCGATTGTTCTCTTCTCCTCGATTTTCATCAACAATCATTAGGGAAATTCCTGCTTGGACTCTTTGTCCCTAGTCAAGACGATGCTCGCAGACAAACAGCAGGTGCACATATCTTCCTACCTTCTGATCCAGATGTACCCAACAGCCGTGGATTTGTACATAAGGGAGCTTTGGAACTCAATTCCAGAAAAAAAAATTTTATTTCTCCAGCTCAAATGTTCCAAGTATCCGACTCCACTGCCCAAAGCAAGCAAGCCAGCTAGGGAGTTTAGGATTTAATTACTCCATTTAAAATCAAATCAATTAATAATTAATAATGTACAAGAGTATTACTAAAACACACAAGACAAAGACTTTGAAAGCTTAAACTAGGGGATGTTTAATGGATTTGTGGGGTCCACGCAAATTTTTGCTTTAGGTATTATTGTAACAAGAATGTGGATGAAATGTCACACTACCTCAACCATAATAGAAATTTTTTTTAGATTGATTGCGAGGGTGATGGCAACTTGTTATATTAAAACACCTTTTTATTTTTCTTTCTTCACCTACTTGGTTTGTTCATTGTTTGATGGCTAAAATTACACAACTGAAAAGTAACCATAAACTTATCAGCTTTTCCTTACCAAATCCTTCAAACCCCAGAGAGCAGAGCAGCAGGTCCCATGGATTCGAATCCCAAACTTGTATACTTTCATCCTCCAAGGAGTAATACTTGAATTGGATTTTGATTGGGAATGTAATGGGAAACTTATGAATTCTTACAAGACCTGTTTTGGATAGTCTAAGCCTATACATTTTTTGGTCTTTCTTGTTTACTAATTGAGAAGTGCCTATCTATCACATCTTGCAACTACTCATATCCCAGAAAAAAGATGATAGATCTTCGAATCCAAGACACTTTATTCCACCACCTTGATAGAGTGATTGCTGAATTATAAGGTCAAAAGCAAAACTGTCACATTCTCTATGTTAATAAAAGACGAATTAAGATTTGGAAAAAAGTAATTACTGTGACCCCAGAAAGACATGCTTCTCAGTTCTGAAATCAGATTTTTCAGCCGAACATGCTTTCCTCATGTCTTTGTACAAAAACATTAACCCCACCATAATGCTGAACTATATCAGAAAAAAGTGCATGTACCCCAACCTGCCCAGGGAAAAAAAAAAAAGGAAAAACCTTGGTGGACCTTGCAATAGCTGGGGTGGATTTTCCCTGACATGGCATGACACCATTAGCCATTAGTCACAAAGCTGTAGTTGCAATTGACGCCTCCATCCCCCCCTCCCGCCTCTCGCTTTCCCTGACTTTCTTTTGCAACTAATCCCTCTTACTAGAAATACTTTTTCCCGTCTGATGATGTTTAGGAGGCCCTACCTGTTGGATTATTGATTAAGAGTTTGTTCACCAAATTTTCCCACAATCTTGTGGAAGATAAGCTGCTGATCCAATAATGGAGAAATGTACTGGGTGTTTAAACTTGAATAACTTTCAAAAGAAAGAAAAAAGAAAAACCAAAACGAAACCATAGGTTTTTATACCTCTTTAAAGTTGCTGGAAATCAGCTTCAAAGCAAAAAGCACCAGCCTTCTTCTTCCGAAGACTACTCAAGTTAGTTATCAATTGAAGACAGCTTGAAAGTTGAATTCTGAATTGACATATTCATTGGTCATCAGAAACGGGTAAAAGGAAGTCCACAAAATAATCCATAGAAAAGGAGAAAACTGAAAAGAACACATCAGTTTGACATGGATGTTACATGTTACAGATGGATTATATAATAATACATACATAGACATTAATTCATTATAAAATATCTGTACGAAGTCATTATTAAACTAACACATTAATATGATAAATTTATGAAATTTTCCATCTTACCCAAGTTGAGTTACCATCGATGTATAAAACAATAATCTTGACAAATATAATTTTCTTTTTTTTTCATTCAAAAATACAAATCTTTTTCAACTCTGTTAAAAGATTTAATATATATGATGCGTGGGTACGCACCATTTCCATGGTTTCCTATAAATTACAGTGGTAGAAACTGATGTGAAAGCATTTTATACATTAGGGTTGTCCAAGACTCTTTCAACTAGTATTTTGTCAAAATAATATAAAAACGATCAAAGTGCAATAGAGAAACACTTGCCATGCGCTACAACATATACTTCCATCTCGTTTTCCTGTTACATGATTGAGTGGAGGTGTGAACAAATGGAGAAACGAGGTCAGGTGTTAAAAATGGACAAAATAATAAGGAATTGATGCTTTGGTGCAATCCAAACTTAAAATGGTTGACCGACAGTAGGAAATAATTAAAGAGACATGGGGAAGACTTTTCCCTTAAGGGTATTGAAACTGCTTAAGAACCACTCTACTTACAGGCATTGATTGAATCAAAGCTTTCACCGAAAGTTGACAATCATTTCCTATAAAGAAGTTTTCCAGTAAAAAACTGAATATTTTGTCCGAAAAAGCTCTGGATCAGCTCACGAAGTTGTAGTTAGACAACGTCAAGAATGACATTTCAAGTTAGGGATCAACATTTGCTAGCAATATCACAAATAGAAGTGGTCCAGAAATGGCTATTTCTAGCTGCTCTACGAGTTAGCAAAGCCGTTCATTCTCAGAAGAGTTTTTGCTTTGTACAGGTGGTCACTAATACGGGGAAGAAAACGTCAACTGGAAACATCCAAAACTCTCTTCGCACTAAATGATCAAACTGACCTGTTTGGTCGAGAATTCCACAGCTGGTGGGCCACCAATGTATGATGTCATTTATCCAGCTGCCATATAATCATGTTGTCTTCTCTTGTCCTTGATGCACAGCAGTGAGCAAAGATTTTTGAGTGGATAGCACAGTGGAAAGAACATAAGAAGTTCTTTAGAAATGCAATAGTAAGGTGTCAGACAAAATGAGTGTCAAATGGACTCAGGCCAGGATTTCTTCTTTTGTTCTCTATTAAAATGCACAAACCTCAGAGCTCAGATAGATTTTACAATGTTCTATTTCCCACTGTCTTTCTATTGTGTTTTGTAGTACGATAGCAGCACCATGTCCACAGTCTAGAACTGCTAACTTAGCACCATAATCCCTGCTGTGCCGGTCGGCCCTGAGAAAACAGGCAATAGCTTTGATGTGGGGCACGCGGCTAATCAATGGCATATGGACTCACAATTTTAACATTGAAAATAAGCTCAATGTGGAAGGCCAATAACGAAAGCATTTAGTCAACTGTATAGTTCAAGGGTCACAACTCTACAATAGGAATATGCTTTACAGATTCAAGGGAAAACTACGGGGGGACCTTAAGCGCAGCGCATACTTGTCTATTAATCACGTTTTCATGTAAAAGGACTCAAAAATGCATGTAAGCACACTATGAGCTTACCTAATAAAAGGATACAAAGGGACTTCAATCCTGACCTGTTGGTGTGGAGTTCAACAAAGGTTTCAACTCATTCCACAAGTTCAGACACCATCATTCTGTAGTACAGCAGAATAGACCGTAATGTGAAAAGCTGCAGCAGTACAGCAAACCAATCATATTCTCAAGGAAAACTCCTACATATGCAACTACTAACATACTACATATACATGGAAAAATGCTAAAGAGAGTCACGCTTACCTGACATCTGAATCGCGCAGAACCAGTTAAAAGTGATTTACCTGCATATGGCAAGCATGGCGTGTGTCAAAAGCCACCTAATTCTGTTTTGTGAGGATGGGTACCACTGAAGCCTGCATTGCTTGTGATCCATTGGTGAGGGAAATTGTATTGAGTGCAAGTGAGACAGTGCTGTTTACAGCAGGCTTGTATACATATACACAAGGGATATCTTAACAAATGCTAGAGCAGTTATACAAATATTTCACATACGCGATTCAAAACAGTCAATAGATCTTGGATCCAAACCAGCATTTTGAAAGAAATTGGTCAGGAAGCAACAAGTGGTGCAGGATGAAAAAGAAACAAAGAGAACGGTGCAAAAAACATGTAATTTAATGGGAATCACAGTTCAAGGAAAGAGAGTTTGAACAAAATATATATCTTGTAATTCAATAACAGCAATGAAAATGTAATCTTACAAGAACCAAAAAAAAAAAAATTGTGATCTGGTACAACTTGTTTTACACAGCCTAAAATACAAATGCAAAGGAATAATATTGGTTCTTTATTCCTCTTCTTTTCACCATCTGGGAGATGTATTTTACAATGCCGACTTACACTACCTCCATCAGCATATCCACCGTCTAGAAGTATGGTTACAAGCTGAAGCAAAATCCTTACCAAGTAGAAAAGAATTTGAATCTGCCCAGTGCCCCTTGAACCCTTCACTCCCATATTCTTTGTTAAAGTGATTTTTCCAGATCATTAATAAATGGCAAGTTCAAAGTTGAGCATTCCTTGCTTCCAAGCTCCACAGCACATTTCGTATCATTTTTCAGAGCAGCATTAGGAAACTCTCACCAAGCAGAAAAATCTTTAAATTCTCCTGCCGTGACTTTTCTTTTCTTTGTTACAGGAATTGCTGTTAGACTGGTATCAACATTAGCAGACTCACTTGGAGTATTCCTTGCTTTTAAGTACTTTCCAACACCACCCCCACCCACAGCTCCAGATTCTGCTGTTCCTGTACCTGGATTGCTATACCAAGACCCAACCTTATCCTGGAATGTAAATAAAAAAACAATACAATCAAGTTCTGAAGATGACATATAATTTAAAAAAGAAAACCAAAATCCAGAATTCTCAGGATCAGAGGTACAGGAACTAACATTTTCTTCATCCTCAACTTTCTTTTCACCTCTGCCCTTCTCTTCCTCTTCTTCATCAGGCTCCATGTATGGATTGACAAATACTGTGACACTAATTATTTTAATCTCCTCCTGCACAAGCAGTAGAAGAAAACACACAGAAATTAGGAATGGAACAGAAAATTATCCTAGTGGCCAATTTTTCTGACAATTCAGAAGAGGCCAAAAGGTGAACATTATAGAGGCATTAAAATCATCACAATCACTAGCAAAGATAACAAAAACAGATGGGTAAAGACTTATTGTAAGCAGAAACTCGTTTTAACCTCAATCTTTTTTACGTTCATACATACAAATTTATTGACAAAACCCAAATATACCGTCTCTGCTCAATACACAGTTTTTAAAAGGTAACATATAATAATATCAAACTAAATAGCTGATAATTTAAATGGAAAAAGGGGGAACTTGCATTTGTATTATAGAAGCAATTGACCACTTAGCTGATTTTAGGCATGCACTAACATGGCAAAATACACAGAATTCAACAAATCACTACTTACGGAAAGAATATTCAACATGAAAACTCACCAGAGGTTGGTCATTGTCATCTACAGGAACCTTCTCCATAGCTGATAGTGTGGTCAAGCCACCAACAACTCCACCAAAAACTGTATGTTTGAAGTTTAAATGATTTGCAGACTTGTATAGGATGAAAAACTGGGAACCATTTGTGTGGGGGCCACTGTTTGCCATACTAACTACACCTCTTCCTGAGTGAAGCAACTTCGAGTTCACTTCATCTTTAAAAGGCTTTCCCCATATTGATTCACCTCCTCTCCCAGTACCAGTTGGATCACCACCTTGAATCATAAAATTTCTACATACAAGAAAGTATAACTTAATCAGAATGAGCAAAGTTATTAAACCAAGTGAAGAACACAGACAATAGAATTTGAACCGAGCAATTGTCACCATACCGAATGTTTCTATGGAAGGCCACTCCATTGTAATAACCACGTTCACAAAGAGTGATGAAGTTCTCACATGTCCTCGGAGTTATATCACAGTGCAGCTCAATGTTCAAATCGCCATGTGTCGTATGCAACTGAACATAACCTTTCTTTTTCGGATTTTTCTCAACTTGAACGTATTCAAATTCATTTTTGGTGACAGGGTCATAAGAGGTAGATGTAAAGGATCGTGAAGCAGCACCAGTAGTAAAACGGCTCTTCACCTAATAAACAATCGAATGTAAAAATTGACCAAGACTCAAATTGTTTAAAGATATCTTCAGGCATTTTCTACATATCAAAAACCTGTCATAGATCTTAAATTATGACTAGGAATCTAAATCCATGATCATCTTCATCAGGAATTATCCTTTTCCACTTTAGAGATAATTAATAGACCAAATCTCTTACCAGTACCAATTGATAGATGATAGTTATCACAAGTCATTACCACCAGCATGTCTAATCAACAAGATGACACCAAAAGCTCTCTATAAATGACTACCAGCAGAAAGAAAATAAAAGACAGTAACCTTCAAACTAAGCACTGGTTTGGGATGTGGGACTCTATGATAAAAGGTTTGTCCAAAGGCAAAGTCAAGAAAATGAGAAATTTACCAGCTTAGCATTCACAGGTGCCCTCTCTCCGGCCATATGCATAGCAATCCGAGCAGCAGTTTTATCACTTGATGCGGCTTTTGCTGCAGCAGCACTTCTTCCATGTACTGAAGCAGACGCAGCATCTACAATACTATATGCAGGTTGAGTTTTACTCTCCCCATTAGCATCCAACTTTGAATCCTCTTTGATGCGAGACCTTGCAGCTAAAATGGCAGCAAGAGCAGCAGCCCTCTCATTTTGAGCCTTACTGCCACCCCCACCAAGCAGAGCAGTTTCCCTTGCTTTCTCAGTTCCAAGCTCTGCCAGCATCTGCTTGATGTCCCCAGCAACATTTATGTTATAAGTTGGATCTGAACCCATTTTCTTTAGTTCTACAAAGAAATAGAAGAAATCAAAACCATGAAAAAGGGAGGAGGAATACATAGCTGATCCTACCAGGAAGCTCAGTCAAAGCAGCTATAATACCTTCATCATCAACCTTCAAACAATTTTTGACATGATCAAAATCCAGGGTAACCTTGCTGTCAAGTACGTTAGGATTCTGCAGAGTATGAGCAGCAAAACAAGAACCACATTGTAATCATGATGCCACACTAGCAAAACAACTGAAAAATGCTTTGATCAAAGATAAACAGAACATAAATTAAATGTACTGCTTGCCTGAATTGTAATAATATCTTCCTTAGTGAAAGGCTCATCTGTAAGAAGCTCTTTCCAGTTTTTGGTCTTGATGTTTAATTCTTTAATTGCCTACAATAAAAACAAAACAGAAACAATATTATAGAGCACTGGCACATATTATATAAGGAAACTCTTAATGATAAGCAAGAAAATACACCTCATAACAGAACACATTTCCTGTAGTCTTCACAGCAACTATGTGTGTGTACTCAGTGAAAACTTTGTTCAGCACAGGGCAATGATACTCTCCTGCAAAGAAGTAAGGAACCATTTTAATATCCTCAAGGCATGAAATTAGACCAAAAGTGCAAAGACTAAAGACCTCCTACATAAACCAAATTCTAAAAATATAGAATTGAAAAGAAAAGCAATCAATACACCTGCATGGCAGCATAAAAGACAAGAAATTAATCCTAGTGAACATTGCTTAATGCAAGAACTTTTAGCAAATTGAAAAGTAACAACATAATCACAATGACAACATCAATAAGAGACCAAGAGAATTACCACAAGGTTTAATTGATTTACAAATGAGATAGCCTTCACAGACTACCACCAAAGAGCAGGTTCTCAAACATTTATTAAATTTCTCAACCAGTTGAAACTTATTTCCCAAGATATGATTTCATAGCTACCAAGTCTATAAGCAAACATAAGATATATTATTACATGCACTTTCCCTACCTCCTTTGCTTCATTTCGTAGGATTTATTATTTTCACAGCAACTTATCAACTTCGTGGCAATGGGAAGAGATGTCTTGACGTAATCTATCAAAATGATACTGTGGAACTGAACAAAAAGCCATTAACTAGCAGACTCTTACTCTGATGATCAGCTCCCAAATTTAAAGAAAGACAAATTTACTCTAGTCCTCCAGGACAGCAACTAATTAAACTAATAAAATAACAGGCCAAGTAAAGCAGAAAATATTTCCAAAAAAATGGCAGAAAGTGAGAATAACCCTAAAGATAACATGTGCCAATCCGCCCCATGCTTTTGTTTTTGCAACCCAAACCCTAGGTAACCATACAACATCCAGAATTAGCATGCTATTCCTTCAAAAGAGGGACACACTCAAGTTCAACCCTGCCGAAAAGGTTATAAGAAGTCACATCAAGGATAGAAGACAAATTTTATTTTGCATACCATTACCGTGTAACATGCAAAAATTACATCCTCCAAAAACATATGCACCTTATAAAGAATCTAGAAAGCTAGTAATGTAATCTACAAAGCTCGAATAAACAATTCAAACAAGGAACATCCTTACTACACTTTATTTTGTTCCACAGGAAAAGAAGATTTCAAACAATTATTGCTCTTTATGATATAAACTCTTTCAATTTTACTTCTAAAACTATGGCATGCTTTGCTAAAACGTGACAGTGGCAATATATCATAAGGATGTTAAAACACTACATTTGGTTCATCTTATTCAAAATTCAAATTGTAAACAAAATATTCCTAACCTTCAGAATTCTTGTGGAAAGTAAGAGGGATAAGTTCCTCTTGCTTCAATGGAGCCCCGGTTACCGGGTTCTTCCCGTACTTCCTAATATAAGGAATTATATTCCTGCACCCAAAAACAATAGAAAAAAACCTAAATTACACTAAAAACAAAGCTTAAAATTAGTGACAAACGAAAATACAAAGATACCAACATTATTTCGAAGATACTGCCATCCTTCGTGCATACCGGAGCCTCAAACGGCGTAAATGTAAGACTGAAAAGAAAAACCCAAAAAAAAAAGAAAATTAAAATGTTGAAAGTAAATAGGCATGAATTAAATAAAAGATATAAAAAAATGTGGGAATGGGGAGTGAGAAGTACGCGCAGCAATAGAAGGGGAGGCGTTTGAAAGGGGTGCGGTTTTCTTTGGATTTAGCGCCGCCCCACTCGGTGGCCCACTCCGTCTTCGTTATGAACATCCGATCTTTGCTGTGCTGTTTCTTCCCCATCTTCACGAGCTTTTCGGGGACGATTCAATTTAGGGTTTCTGATTACTAAAAGCTTTGTTTCGTTGAAATTTACTTGAAATTGAGTTTGGCGAGACTGCTAGGGTTTATGATTTGGAGGGTATTGAACCTTTTCTGATTAGGATTTTTGGATTATGGAGGGAGGTTTTGACTTTTGACTGTTGGATAGGGTGAGTCCTGAGTTTGCCGATTCCGATAATGATCGACCTTTCGAATCGGCAAATTCGGCCCAATTTGAAACCCGTTGAAATAATTGGGCTTTTCCTTGTGTTCCATCCTTTCAATTTCCATTTTTTATTTTGAGATTTTCTACGTATTTAATTTTTCTTCTTTTTATAATAATTAAAACTCTGGCTTTTTTATTTAAAATTAAATTTTTATTTGTCATTAAATTGAAATTATTTTCTTGAAATTGCATGCCAATTCAAATATTGACGTTTAATTTTGAAATAAAAGAGTTACTTAATTGTATAATTTTGTATTTATTATATGAATATCTTCATGTATTACAATAATATTTGAATAAAATATTCTAATTAATCGTATAATTTTGTATTTATTATATGCTCTAGGACAGAAAAATTCCCACCGGCCTTGGGCCCAATTTTTCAGGATTTAAAGCCAGGCTTGGGCCACATGAAACTAAGCAGGCCAGCAGAGTCCAATCATGTGACTCCGACAGGGTTTACGGCACCAGCAAAGGGGAGATGAAATGCCAGCGGTTATCGCTGAGGCTTTAGCAATGAAAGGTCCAAGGCCGACCAGTAGCGGCAGCGGCAGCAGCAGTGGGGAAGAAGACGGAGACGCAGAGTGGAAAGCTGCCATTCAATCAATAGCCGCCGCCACCACTGCAACTTTCACCCCTATTGGTTTCAACACTTCCTTCTCCAACAGCTCCACAACAACAACAACTACTAAAGCAAAAACGACAAGAAACAACAGTGTGTCCCGTCCAACCCCAGATACACTTGATGATGATGCCGATGATGGAGAGAAAAAACAGCAACCCCAGAAGCTTAAACACTTCCAAATCAAGGTTCCAAGCTTTCCCCGTGTTTCTAGCTTTGTTTTTATAGCATTGGCTTATCTGGGTAATTTGCAAGTATTTGGATTGATATCAACTTTAAAATTATGAACTTTTAGATTCCCGGTTGAGTCTAGTGAATGATTTGATGTTTCCCATATGCTCCTTTTTTTTCCCCCATAAATTGGTATCAGAGTTTTGTGCATGGCATCTAATTTTATTTTGCAACTTAAATGGGGGTATTTCAATGGGTTCAGCAACTTAAAAGGACTCAATTTTAGTGACTGTCAAAGCTGGAATTCATGATGTCTAATTATTTTTTCTCATTCAATTTGAATCTTTTGCTGTTTGAACAATTCTGCTCTCTTGTTTGGTTTGCTTACTAATAAAAATAATAAACAGGCACAGAAGCTTTTGGATGAAATGTTAGAGAAGAGCTTAGTGATAGTGAAGGATGCCAATAATGTCCCAGATGATGATAGTGTGGAAAATGAAGGTGGAGTTCGGTTATTTAAAAATTCTGCTCTCGGGATAGTATTTGACTGTGGAGGTGGGTATATTTTGTACAAATTGCCATTTCTTGTTGCAACTGGGAGAATGTTCTAATCAAGCTGCATTGTTCATGCTATTCTGTTGCTAGTACATCAGTCTCAAATGGTTAATTCTAGATGCGGAGTTTAGTGACTGGGAGAAAAAGGGCAGCATATTCCAAAACCTAATGCAATTTCTTTCATGGATTCTACCTGTCATTTTTATTGGAATTTGATCTCTTATTACATGTGAATGAATTGGTAGTTTGTGATTGATTGGTGTTGATACTGCAATGCAATTTTGCATTTGCTTTTGATATTGTATGTGAGGTTAAAAGGTTATTTGTTTGCTATCAGATGATATTCAACGACCTACAAAGAGACCAAAAATCCTTCCTGGGACAGGGATTGATGAGAACTCGAAAGAGGTTGCTCTGGATATCTCTTTTCTTGCTGTTAATTCTCTCTCTTTTCACTTTGCATTAATCCTTCTTAAGTTATACTTAGTCATCTTGGTGGCACGCAGTTTAGACGACAACTGCGGTCTATAGCAGTGGATGGGAAAGATATATTGGCTGCAGCAAGACAATCAAGCCAGAAATCATTAGCTAGCCTAGAAGCTAAATATGCAGCCGCAAAAGAAAAAGCCAAAAGAGAGGAAGAAAGAGTAGCAGAGCTGAAAAGGATTAGGGGGGAGAGGTGGCTACCTTCAGTGGCTAGAGAGATGCAGGTAAAGTTTCAAGTTTGAAAGTCATGGAGACAATTGATCGTTAGTTGTATCCTATATGTTCAATCAATATGGTTTCACATTTTGTTGACAATTTTTCCTTTTCTCTTTCTAGCCCAGTTAAATAGAAGTTCTGATCAACAAGAATAGGCAAATCCTTGCAAGCTGTTTCAAATGTTGGTTTCCTTGATGATTATCCCTGATTGAAAGTCATGTTTGTCACTTAATCTGGGAATTCCATAGCGATCCCCCCCT